CACATGTACAATTCTATGCAGTGATAACATCACATTCATACAGAAAAACTCATGATTTAACATGGTATATGCAAATTAATACATGCTCTACACATTCCTCATATTTGTCAAGAATTTCTTTCCGTTTATTCGCGACATCTGTTGACAAAAAATTTTTTACACGGGTTTATATGTATTTCAATTCAGTAATTAAAATGTTCTTATTTCAGCAGGGTTTAAATTTTGTCTTTAGTTTTTTTCTCTATTGATGAGTTAGAGATATGGAAAGAAGCGATTTTTCCTAATAATTTATGCTAACTTCTTTTCAGATAATGAATTTAACGTTTTTTTTTTTAGTAAATATTTTAATGGTAATGCAAAGAAGGCTTTGCTTGCATTAATTCAATATTCTCGTAACAGCAATTCATACTTTGCTGATTTACTTAATAACTCACTGAAGGTACCGTTGATTTTGTTGTTATTTGGTAAACAATTAATTCATAAATAAATGATAATTCATAAAAATCGTATGCATAGGACAAAACAGATCATCTGTTCGTGTAAAGGCAAATGAGGTATTTAAGGTCAACGTATGGAAGTTTCATTTTTGCACACAATATCAACAAACTCCATCAAGGAATTATAGAAATACCTGAGCTAAATTTTGATGTCACATTTAAAAAATGTGCCAAATCAGTGATTTCATCAGATAAATCCATCGAGTATTTCTTGCTTTATTATTGCTTGCATTTTAGTACAGCATAATGATAAAGGACAGTGATATAATGATAACAATAACAAAGATGATGTATGTGTTTTGTATGATTTAATTTCTTTTTTTTTGTTTGCATTTTTTTAGAATCCAAGTGAAACGAGAAATAGTGATTTGCTTCGTCTGATAATTTCACGATCTGAAATTGATCTTGCGACAATCTCTGAAGCATACATGAAAGGTTATAAGAAGAAATTAACTGATGAAATTAATAGAGAATGTAATGGTTCATACCGTGATTGGTTAATTGCTATTATTAAAGGGAATATATAATATTCGATTTTGAATTAAACTTTTAGTATTTGTTAATCACTTTGCTTTTTTTGCTCTGTTTTTTTCTTCTTTTCTTTTTTTCGATAAGAATTCGTTTATGTGGTACATTCCAAATATTCAGCACGAATTATTAGGTAGGACTTTTTAAAACTTGAATTATACAAAAGGAATTATTAAGCAGTATTTTCGATTTAATTTGTGCAAAATTTAAATTGGATAGCATGAGGAAAGAATGGAGGAAAATACTGAAAAATATAAAAATTAATATAATTTTTTTATTATATCAGGAAAATTATTAAAGGATTATTTAATGCATTCCAGTGAAGAATGGTGGAATAATTAGTTTTTTGTTATTTCCCCACTATTAATTTTATTTTTCTTCTATTATAGTAAAAACTTTCATTTTAATATCATTCTTATTTCCAACACTTTTGATGAAAATTGAAATAGGTTAAAGAGCAAAGGAACAAGAAAAGAAAGGACGAAATAGATATCGTTCTAAGCCGCTAATTTTATCGTTAAAATTTCAATTGATTATGCATATGATAAAATTAGTCAAATCTAACCGATTAAAATTAATTGAATTGGGAAGATTCGAAATGTTTTGTTTCACTGAAAACAATTTTCCATTACATTACTAAAGTATTTTCGAATCGACAACTTCATTAGTCATTTATAAAAACTATTGATAAGATTTGCAGACATATGCAACGGAGTGATGCTTACCACTTACATATCATTTATGATAGGATGATGTGACAGAACCTTATGCTTTATTAAATAGCAAATAGAACTTATCAAATTGTGCATGACATATGTACTTTTTTCAATCATTCAGTGCTTCTTTTTTCGTGTCATTTCGTTTTAATTATAGAAGCCTAACTTAGCTAATATTATTTCCTTCCGATGCAATTTGATATTGCTTATATTGTTTAGCTAATAAACAAGAAATACTTTTAATTTAAATAAACAGTTTTGCATTTTTTCAATTAGTGTAAATTTTTTCTTTTATCACATAAAATGTTATCCATATTTGAATATGCGCATTTTATGCTTCAATGTTAATTATTCTGGCAAATGGCATAGTTCATGGCATAAGTCTTTAAATCATTTTTTTTTTAAATTTCCCCATTTAATATTTTTCCTTAAGCTTCCCCATCCAACATTTTTTCATGTCTTCGGTGCGTAATTTTGCTGTTAAAATTCAATGGTTTTTTAAATTTAGGTATAAGCAAATCCAAGCATAATTTCCATATCGATTTAGTTTAACTTCAAATATTTCAACCATTGCGGTGACCAAATGTCATTGCTTCTGTATGAAAGCAATAACATTTACCTATTTTATTTCCGATACAATTACAACAGTTTATTTCCGACACAATTACAATAGTTTATTTCCGATACAATTACAATAGATCAAGATGAAATTTCGCTTTTCTTTGTCAGCTATCTCAATAATTTTCAGTAGTTTTCTTCCGATATACGCCTTTCTGATATGGCATATTATTATTTGGGAATGGAAATGAAACATTTCGTTAGGAAAGTTTGATTTAAAGTTCAATATCGAAGCTTACAGAAATTGACAATAAATTATAATTGCTCATTGTCGTTCGCTTAGCTGTCTCGTTTGATAAGAAATTTCATCATGGTAGTTCACTGAATTCCAGCACAGTTTTTACATTTCCAAATCTGGGAAGATTGATGAGCAGAATTCAGTATTTGATTATACTCCAAGAAATTGGCAAAAGGATTAGCAGGGAGTTGAGAAACAATAAAATTGTGACCTGTTTTGAAATATTAATGGTAATATGAATTGCATTTTATTTACTGATAAAAGGTGTGAAATTTTCTTCGCAAAATCATTCATTAAATACATACATTCATCAGATTAACGTCAAACGAATCACATAATCAAAAATATCGATAACCGCCAATTTGTCATGTATTTACATATCGCAACACTCATTGTATTGCAGATAGAAAAACGGACTTGAAATTTTGCTAAATTTGCGAAACTAACAAGAAGTTCCGAGGCATGCTTTCATGTGTCTTTTCAAGCTGCGCTTGCTGCCGTAGGATCTGTTGCAATTTTCG